AATTTCGCCCCCTTCGTGGCTCGCCTCAAGTAATCGAAAGCACGCTCGTGATCACGCACACGCTTCTCACTGTGGAATCTGATGTTCTCGCTCCTGGATGTGTGTATGAGCCAGATGCGTTGGTCAGGACTCGCCGGCGGAGTGAGTGTGTGCCCAAGATCTTCGCCGGCGAGGAAGACCTCGAATATCATCATCTTGAAGAGCGGGAAGTTGCCGTCGTACACTGGTGGCTTGCGGTCCCTGTACTGCTGTTGCACTGGACCATCTCGAAAAGAAGTAGCCGCTCCCCCGGCTCCAAAGGTGTCCGCCACCCCGGCTGCTCCACCCCTATAATACCCCGACGCGTACCCAGCGCCATCCACCCTATCTCTCGTAGCGTCCCCCGCTGAACTGCGCTCCCTTTCCTCCTCAAGTTTCCTCCGTAACTAGATTCTTGTGCGTAGCCACCACGTTGAGAAAAATCTCGGTGATCGTGCGCAGCGGACGGCCGCGCCGGCTAGCGATCCGCACGCTCTCCGTTTCGGCGGAAATTCACGGCCCAACGGTAATGGCGGCGGCGGCGGTGGCGGCGGCGGCGGCGGTGGTGGTCCGCAGCGGAGGACCGGTGGGTTTTCCCAAGGCAGACAACAGGGTAGAGATGGACAGCAGCAGCCGGGGTGGGGAGGGGGAACTCAGGGAGAGTACAACGGGGGATATCGCCCACAGCTGCAGCAGCCGCAACAGTCGTTTCATCAGCAGGCGCCGCAGCAGCAGTATCAACGGAGATTCCCTCAGCATTTTCCGCAGCAGTCGTTTCAGCAGCAGCAGCCCCAGCAGCAGCAGCAGCCCCAGGAGTTCACTCCCGCAATGGCGATGGGAATCGTTTCGGGGTGGTCCCAGGGACCCCGGGCGGAACGCAGCGTGGCCGCAGGAGGCGTCCCCCATTCCTCCGGGATCACCGATGTGCGCCGTGCCCATGTGTGGTCGATGCGGTCATGTCGGGCACACGGCTGTCATCTGCCAGGCTCCTCCGCGATTTTATGGTAGGTGTTCTATTTGTGGTGAACCCGGTCACACGGCGCGCAACTGCAAATTCAACACATCCAACAATCTGCAGCAGCCGCCGCGCCAACACGCGGCGGCCAACACGTCTCAGGCACCCCACCTCAACGCCGTAATGCCCCCACCTTATCAGCCTGTCTCGCAGCAGCCTTTCCCCCAGCACTCCCATCTCAACAGCGCGGAGCCCGGGTATTCGGCAAGTTGTGTAGACGGGTCGATAGCGCACCATTGGCCCGTGTCGGCGCCTCTTCCGCAGCAGCACCTTGCCGTGGTACATCAGGATGGTTCCAGCGGAGGTGTGCAGCCATGGCAGGGTCCCGGCGGCAGCGGCTATGGTGGTGTGCCCCAGCAGCAGCAGCAGCCGGACAAGCAGCTTGGCTCGGTGGGTGGAGCCGGTAGTGGGGTCCGGTTTTCTGTGGGTGATGGGCAGCAGGAGCCACAGCAGCAGCTGCAACAGCAGGAGGGCCGCGCGTGGGG